AAAATGCTGTCTAATTGCAAAATACTAACAAGTGCTGCAGGTACCTTCGCATTGCACAACCATTTGTGACAGTTAGTAACATAGTAGTCTGGCTTTAATTGTGATAAGTCCACAGARACAGCACCCAAGGCATGCGCTCCATCAATCAAGACGTCAACTCCTCTACTATGACATATTTTGATGATTTCATCAACGGGCATTATTATGGGATGTACACTAGGTATATGATCAAATATGGCAAGCTTGGTGTCGGCTTGTAGTGTTTTGGTAATAAGGTCTAATATTTCCTTTTTTGACGATGGGAAGGGCAATGCAACTTCCTGGACATCAACTCCTGGAAAAAAGTATTGCTCTAATATCACACCTTGACACCTTGATTTTGATTGTAAATATCATAATAGTATTCATCACCCAGCCCCCTTAACATCATTCCAACCTTCAGSATACCTTTTTCATCTTTCAATTGAGTAAGAACTTTACTAACAGAATAATATCTAGTGTTCAAGCAGTACACTCTGTCTCCAGACCCTAATCTTAATGACTTTAAAACAGTGGCAGTTGCTTCAGTAGCGTTGGATACCAAAACAATGTCCCTAGGRTCGCACGACACGAACCCCGCGAGCCTCCTTAAAACGAAAACCATGTTAGGTATCAGYTCCCTGTCGATGAATCGTAGTGGCTGACTTTCTGCATACAATTGCAGTTGGTGGACGGTTTGTAATACTGGTTTAAGGGCGCCACCAAACGCGCCATGGTTTACGAAAGTCCACTTGTTAAAATCGATACAAAACTGTTGGCGCATTTCATTACTGCCAAACTCAGTATTACGATCGAACTGGACTTCTTTGAACGGCAAATTTGGAGGTTTATATTCTTCTTCTGGTAGGTCTAACAGTTCGTTTGTCTTTTCATATGTCATAACCYTCAAACGCATCTCTTTGGATGACTGTTCTACTCCGAAGTCCCTCTTTTCCGCCATTTTGGTTTTTCCAAAATCACACAGGAATCCCATTAGACATTTGCAGGACCGCTGGTCCCAAAGCTCACTTGTTCAGTCAGCCATTTTATGTGACAGGATTTGTATTATTTACATTGAAAAGTATGGAAAAACGTGCTATCATAAAACCAGAGATATTTAAATTTGGTCCGTGGACTGTTACATCTAAAAAGGGCTCAATTTTGACAGCAGCAGATACTGAAAGGTAGGAAAATCTTAGCGGTTTTTATGACTTTGCTGTCAGACTCTTTTTATCGACTCTTAAGACTTACTCGGCAAAGAAAAACATGTGAAATAATTGATTGATTATTAGTTCTTTAAAGGAATTGAAGATTATTCTCTGAAAACTTGATATGATAGATTACTTAGGAATAATGTGCGTCGGGTAACTGTATTGCTCAACCTAACCTACAGCCTCCCCCCCTCCCCTCCCCTCCCCTCCACACACATACACAGCACCAGTGAGAAAATTCTC